AGCCGCTAAACGGGTTAACTTGGAATCTTAGAAAGCGTCAGGTGCCTGTCCCCGATCCCCAATCCAAACTCCGTACTCCAAGCACGTGATTGATATATCATCGGTAAGCGGTGGACTCCCCCTTGACAGCTCACCGATACAATACGATTCGATTCGTTTCGTTTCGTTTCGATTTGGGAAAGCAAAACCTCAATATTATACAATAATTAGCAGCAAAAATGATTGCCATTTGTAATTAATGCACATAATTGCTGGGCCCCCTTAGAATGTTACTCGATAGAATGGAAAATGGCAGCAGAAAACAAAAAAACTTCTAGATTACGAATTAAAAATTGAGAATTTTTGAAATGGACTCGTAATTGTATTATTAATTGCGCTTAATTGAATTATGAATAACATTTAGCTGCCACCTAGGAAGTACAGTCCTAGAGCCGAGATTCGTGCAATCTCGGAAGCATTCCGCAAGGGCACCCAACGAGGGCTGGGATTTTCCCTCCCCCTCTGGTGCGGATTCCAGTTCCAAGTTCCAAGTGGGATCGCTGCAAGGCTACAAGATTGTGGGAATCGGAGGAGGAAGAATATGGCAAACCCAGAGCGGAAGGTTGGGAAAATTACAAAGGCGGTGGTTGGTTTTTTATAGAACGTTGTTAGATTTTTAGAAAAATATATTATAGGTAAGAAAATAAATGTTAAATAATAATAATAATAAGTCTAAAGAACTTGGCCAATTCTTAAATTTTTCTGGTTTAATGTGGATTATAGACCAAGTATTTAGGTAATAAAATAAATCCTACATTTAATTCTTACCATAATATTTAATTAATACATTTTCTACTTTAAAATATATATTATGATTTACCTTTTATTTATTGTTTAATTTTTATTGTGGTTACCTTAATCATTCAACCTGAAAATAAGTTAAGTTCAAGTTAATTAAACAAAGTTAATGATACCACAAACCGCAATGAATCGGTTTCTGGTTTTGTATAAAATCGATTGTATCATTTCCTTTACAAAAATATATACAAAGTATCTAATATTAGAGAGACCTCTACAATTCTTAATAATATAAAAAATAATGCCAAGAACTGTTAACTTCTTTTATTTATAATTAATCATAGATAACTAGGCTACAGCAAGAGGCCTCCAGCTATGTTCTTTTATAATTTTATTTTATTTTTTATATATTCTTTAATATTTTTGAACCCAAAACCCAACAGGAACTGCTTTCCCCGGATTTTTCAGCATTTCATGCTGACAACTATGATTGATGGAATGAATAATGGAGGCAAAAATAAACTGTACTTGGATTTTATTCCCGACTTTGGCCAAAAAAGTGGACTACGTGACTGAGCCAAAAACTTAAACATTTTTTTTTTTTTTAATAGAACAATGCCACTGTGAGAGTGTGTGTGGCACAGTAAAAACCCAATAAAGTCCGAAAAGGTCGTGAAATTTTAATTATAGAATCTAATTTGTTTGAACGCTCTTTTATCTTGATGATTGATCATTAGGTCTAAGAAAAAACCTTAACAAAACAAACGAAAAGAAATAGAAAAAAGTAAATCCGTCTTATGTAACAAAAGTTAAAAATTGCAAAAGCCAAAAATCATCGACCTTCGAAATCGGTTCTCAAAGGAGCCATTTCAAATTTATTTAACAACAATTAAACATTGTTTAATGACAGGGAGCAACTACTACTACTACTACTATATAGTTTGCTCACTTATTATGGTTTGATCATGAGACTTTGACTTCAATAAAACAAAAAACAACAAAAAAAAAATTGAAAATAAATAAAACAAACAAACTGGTTGACCAAACTGGAGATCGTTCCGATCAGAAGCTAACGCAGCTAGTCAACCGTTAAAAGGTTCACGGCCAAGGACAAGGAAATCCCAGTGAATGGCCACCACCACCGCTCGATCTCCATGAATCACGACTCCAAGTCAACGCGACTCCAATTCCCGCCCCGATTTGATGTGAAACAATTTTGTGACTTCTGAAACCTTGGGCGTGTACACTTTGCATATTGCTCGCTAGAATGAGGCACAAACCGTGCACAATTCAATTCAAATATTAAATAAAACAAAAAATAAAAGAAACAATAAGAGCTAGAAAATTAATGTAGGAAGAAAAGTTGCTTGTGTGAAACCTTAAACTAAAATTATAATTTGTTTGATTGCACTTAAATCGGAAGTAAATGCTAAGCCAAAATGTGAATGGTTCAAATGGTAAAATTTTGCACATGACTAATGAGAAATATAATACGCAGATTATAGGCTTAAAAGGTTGCTAATTACTAATTTACAATCTAAAATTTGGCTGAATTGGATTAAGAATAAGCGGAACAAAATTATTTTATTTGTAAATAAAGGTTGTAAATAAGGTTCCTGAAGGATAAAGATTTAGGGTTTTAAATATCCCATTTTCTTGAGTCCCAGTTGGGCGCCATTTTTTATGAGTTAGAGATGAGCGCTTTAGAATATGGCCGACCGATAGGCTAACAATATAGGCCTAAAGATATCGAAAATATTCTTAAACTTAATTGATTTAAGCTAACTTCCTTTTTTCTTAATATTAGATTGGCTTTAAAAATCACTGTTAAATATTTAAAATTCTTATAAATTTTAAGCATTTTTTCTGATATTTTTCATATAAATTCTATACATTTTCATCAATCAAAAATTGTTTACATTCAATAAATTTACATCCCAATTACCAACGCATTGAATGCACCATAAATGTTGTATAATTAACCATAATTTATGAACCATAATCCATTTCCTAGCTACCGACGATTGAATCATAAAAACCGATCATTGGATTGATCGATCCAATTTGTATAATGAATCTATATGGCGCGATGATTATGTTTTTGCCTTCCCCCAGATGTTCTCTGCGACTTTAATAACTTAATGCTATCCGATCCGATTGAAGCGGATCGAAGCGGATCGGAGCGATGTGTTAGCTCATTATCGGCTCGTTAGCCCACCAATCGCTAGAATTGATCTACTAATTTGATCGACTAGCGCTAAGATCGACTGTTAGTTAGTTAGTTAGTCGCACGATGCTCGATGCAGGCTGCAAGGATGACCGGATTGTTGGCGGCAAGTACAAGTGCACATATGTAGATCAATGGCAAATCGCGCTGTATTCGATTTGGTTAAAAGCAGCGGCGAGTGGCTGCCACTGAAAATGAGAATTTACAAAAAAATATATCTATACATATATAATGCCATTCGTCGACGACGATGGCCAAGACCAAATTTAAGTAGCGTCGATAGCCTTATGGCATACAGGAATGCACACATAATGTCGCTTCAGGGATGGTCTAAAATTATATGGAAGGACAAATTCGATATTTAAATCGATAATATTTAGTTTTAAGTATTTTCCTGATAATCTATATTTTATTTGGCATTTATTAGGGAAATCTACTTAATTTTGTAAGCATTTTATCTAAGAGCGTTCGATATCTTGTTGATATTTAAGTACAAAATTCGATATTTAAATCGATATTTTGTTGATAAAATAAATGTTCTGATATATCCTTATTTGCGATGATATTTTATGGCAAAATCTGTGCTCAGATTTAGTAAAATACTTGGTTTACACTTATATTTATACAAATTTTACTTACATTATTGATATCTTTTGCTGTTTTTGATAACATAATAAACCGATATATTTTTTTTATTGTTGTTTTACATTCCCCAAGTGTCACCGTAACCCGATCTCGTAATCCCTCAGCTGCAATATATGCTAATTCCGTTCGCCAGATGTGTTTTTAACGCGGCTTTCAATTATTTCATAGACATTACTTTTGATATCGACCGTACTTATCATCGGCGACTTGGTTTAATGTGCTACATTTACGCATGCAAATTAGTTGTTAAATGTGCTTTTAAAAAATATAATTGATATAGAGCTGGCCGACGCCTACTCTCACGCACATTAACTAACATATATTGTATTATAAACACATGTGAGATCGTGTGGCCACTTCCTGTTTACCCAATGGGTTTTGTTTATCGTCTGACTTTCACTTTGTCCCTATATATGATCCGCATTTGCATCCGCTCTAGTTCTCAGAGGGGGGAATATTAGTTGAGTCATTCAGGATCTAGGGTAGTTTGTTCTGTGAATTGTTCTGGTTTTGTTTCGAAAAGTTCTTTGACTGCAAACAGCACTGAAAGAATTATAAGAAATATAAATAAAATAGGTAAATAAACAAAAAGAATTGAATGTAATAAATTATTAATAAAATTTATAAACAATATCATCTCTTTTTTTATCTATTTTTTCGGCGCACATGTCGTATACGTAACGTTTTACAATTTTTACATTTTAAGATCCCATATAAAATGAATTTTTTTCTTTTTTTTTCTAACCACTTAATAAATCTCCAAAATAAACTTATCTGCCATTTTCTGTATCATTTCTGACGGTGCACATGTCGTATACTTAACATTTGGCTGTCTATTATTTGAACCATGATTTGTTTTGGCTTTGTTTTGATTTTGAATTCTGTTTTTCTTTGTCAAAATGACCCGCTGCCGAGGCTTTTCTTATGACGCTCTGAATGAATTCCAAATGTTTTGGGTATTCTACCCATTCCGAGTGACGCGCGCACGCGCTAATGGTTAACCCCGCTGCTAGCCAAGAGCCGACGTTCTAGCCCGCACTTGAACTTGGTCGATTCTCGGACTTAACCCACTGCTGGGGCTGAGGCTGTGGCTGCTGCTGCCGCTGGCTGTGGCTTTGGCTTTGGTCTGGTGAGAGGAAAGGAAACCCCACGGCATCACGGCATCACGGTGGCAGAACCCGCTCCCAGCTGGGCAACTACGTCACAGCCGCGTCATGCGAAAACCAGTCATCGTCGTGGGCCAAAAGCGAAGCCGAAGCTGGAGCTCGGCTCGGGCTTTGGGCCTCGTTCGTCTCGGGGGTATTTAAGCGGCGGCAACTCGACCTGGAGCATGCATTGATTCGCTATCATTCGCTCTAAAGACTTGTGCGCCCCTCCAGCCTCAAGTAGTTTGCTGACTCTCTGTTTGTTGTAATACAATTTTGCTGACAAGGATAATCAAAATCACAGTTTTCGAGTTTCGCGAAAAGGATCCATCCACACTCAGACAACCAGTTAAAAAAATCAAATCGTGAATCTATCCGCCGGAATTCGAGAATTCTTGTCCAGCTCAATTCTAGACGCAAACAGTTATCCAGTCCAGGAGCCGATATTTCTTGCCAATAAGCAGTGAAAGTGTCAACACATTTCGAGTGCTTATTTGCCAAAAGTAAACGAGAGAGAAGCGCAATCCAAGCACCCTAAGCAAATAGTATTCTAAGTGTTTTTCGGCAACACTTTGCGTAAATTTTTGTTAACCCAACACAAAACCCCCCAAAAAAAACACACACAAAACAAAATGATGGCCGTTGCAGCTGCCCAAAAGAACCGCGAGATGTTCGCCATCAAGAAATCCTACAGTATTGAGGTGAGTTTTTCAAAAATTTCAAATTACAAAATTCGAAACAAAACGAAACGAAAAAGATTCCAAAATTCCCAAACCAAAACTGAGGCTGGTCTACGTGACTAGCCAAAGGTTTTGTGTGAAAACCTGTTGAAGTAGGCCCACACTCTTTAGGAGATCCCGCATTTCTTTATTGCCAATTCAGTTTGGCCAATTGGCCAATTATCCGTTATGTGTGTTGGCCAACTTCACACCTCTAAGAACGGCTCGAACAACAGCCTCCAATACCGGAGTCCCCCCCGGAGTCGGAGTCTTAAGTTATTATTTAACAAATAAGTGAAAGTGGCTGCCTTTTTGCCCCTGCACTTAGCCTGGTGGCCGAAACAGTCGCGCCTCATTGTTGACTCCGCTTGCTGTTTATGTTTATGCTGGCTGCCTGGCGACCAAAACAAAATATGAAATCAATAAAAAATGATTCAATGAGTGGGACATCTTTCATCAGCCTTTTGGCTGGCCCAAAAAAAAAAAATATAAAAAAAGGCCCAACGAAAAACAAACAAAACCCAAGCCGACAGTGAAAACTGCAACTGAGGGAAACCTTCTCCGGCTTCCCAACAAAAATGCCTGTTGCATTTTTCCCCAGAATCGCATGGGGATTTTCGTTGGCTTACAGCCATAGAGCCATAACCCACATATATCTTTGCCTTGTGGCGGTGACATCGCATTAAATTAACATCCCAAAATCTCAGCTTTGAATCACAATGCCTGAATGGCGGCGCGGTCTATTCAAGAAACTGAAAGAAAAGATCTGAAATTTTGAGGCGCTTTCACGCGCACACATTTTACATAAGACGCCGACCGATAATTGCGCAATATATATAAATATATATATATATATTTGATTGAAAGACTCTGCCAGAGTGGGTTTGCAAAGTCAAACAGGCCTGAAGGTCAAGGCAAAAACCGAGTCCGAGTCCAATTTCCGCTGCATATCCTGGCTTGTCACTAAAACGGATTTTTGTCTCTGTCTCTTGCAGAATGGCTATCCATCCCGGCGCCGCAGCCTGGTGGACGATGCCCGTTTTGAGACCCTGGTGGTCAAGCAGACCAAACAAACCGTCCTCGAGGAGGCCCGCAACAAGGCCAATGGTAAGTACAAATTAATAAGCCAACAAGTGGCTGGGAAAATGGGAGTAAAACGGGTCTAAAGGGGTTTCAAAGGGGGCTTAAATAAAGTTTAAATTGAACTTAAATTAGGCCTTTAATTGGAATGATTATATTTTAATAAAAGGGTCTAAAAAAATACTTAAAGTAGCCTTTAAAAAATTATTCAAAATTACTTCAATAAGCTTTTCAATTAGGTGTTTATTTTTACAATTTCTGATTAGCTTTTATTATTTATTAATTCAACAAATGTCAGTTAAAATATTATTATATTAATTCCCTTTTTATTTTGCTTGCTTTTATATGAATTTTTTATGATCAACAATCAAATGTAGCTTTATTATTATTGTATATTTCCTTAATTTTTTTTTATATAAAAATTCCACAATTGGTTGCTTTGTTTACCTTATTTTTTCCTCATTTTTAAATTATTATTTTTATTTACTATTTAATTTTATAGACGAGTCTCTGGAGGAATGCATTCTGCAGGCTGAGGAGCACATTCCCGCCGAGCAGAATGTTGAGCTGCAGGACGAGCAGCCCAATCTGGAGAATCTGCCCATGGAGAACGAATATGTTCCAGGTTAATATTTATTTCAATATGAATTCCCTTGATTTTCCTTTTTGATTTCCCTCCTTTTTCTGAGCCTATTATCTTTGATTTGATTACGATTATGATTTTCATGGGCCTTATTATTTTCTTTTCTTTTTATTTGTGGCGTTTTTAGTTGAGGAGGAGGATGTGGAAATTGAGCAGGAGCAGTCGCACCAGCAGTCGCAGTCTCAGAGCCAGGAAGCCGCCGGCGAAGAGCCAACCAAGAACGGTAAGGAGGTGGAACCATAAGTAGTACTTAGGCTGAGGGGCTTTTGAAAAGCGTGCGACATTGATTTAAGTGCTTCATATGATAAAGTGCCAGAAGGGACAGAAGGCGAGAAGCGGGGAAAAGCACTCAACAGTCAACCGTTGGAAATGTCGCATTTCCCTTTTTCATTTGTTACGCTCGACTTGGCTGGAAATGCGTTTGCCTGGCAACCGAGTCCCCGAGCCAGACGCCCACGTAGCCCGCTTATCGCTTACGTGACCCTAAGCCCGTGATGATTGCATCTTACTTTACCAGCTCCCTTTTATTTCTTTTCCCCCCTCTCGCAGATTACGGCCTCACCGAGGACGAGATTTTGTTGGCCAATGCCGCCTGCTCATCGCCGGAAGCCGAGGCTGAAATGCAGAGCGCCGCTCTGGTGGTCCGCCTCAAGGAGGGCATCTCCTCGCTGGGCCGTATCCTCAAGGCCATCGAGACCTTCCACGGCCAGGTGCAGCATGTGGAGTCCCGGCAGTCGCGTGTCGAGGGTGTGGGCCACGATGTCCTCATCAAGCTGGACATGACCCGCGGCAATCTGCTGCAGTTGATCCGTTCCCTCAGGCAGTCGGGCTCCTTCAGCAGCATGAACCTGCTGGCCGAGAACAACATCTCGGTGAAGGCCCCCTGGTTCCCCAAGCATGCCTCCGAGCTGGACAATTGCAACCATCTGATGACCAAGTACGAGCCCGATTTGGACATGAACCACCCGGGATTCGCCGACAAGGTGTACCGTCAGCGCCGCAAGGAGATTGCCGAGATTGCCTTCGCCTACAAGTACGGAGATCCGATCCCCTACATTGCCTACACCGATGTGGAGGTCAAGACCTGGCGCTCGGTGTTCAAGACCGTCCAGGATCTGGCCCCGAAGCATGCCTGTGCCGAGTACCGGGCTGCCTTCCAGAAGCTCCAGGACGAGCAGATCTTTGTGGATCATCGTCTGCCCCAGCTGCAGGAGATGTCTGATTTCCTGAGGAAGAACACCGGCTTCTCGCTGCGTCCTGCTGCAGGTCTGCTGACAGCCAGGGACTTCCTTGCCTCGCTGGCCTTCCGCATCTTCCAGAGCACCCAGTATGTGCGTCACGTCAACTCGCCGTATCACACCCCCGAGCCGTAAGTAACTTTTCTATATATATACATTTTCCGGTTCCACTTCAAAGGGGCGAAAGAAAAGTGTCCTTTGTTCGTGAAGCCTAATTGCATTTGCCTGCCTCGGTTTCCTCTTCCGCCTTTTCGCCGGGCTAACTTTTACCCGGCAAATTGGCTGCTGCAGGAGCCTCATTTGTCCCCTGATAATTGCTTTATGCTCTGGCATTTTCCACACTTTTAACAAGCCATTATTATTGTGATTTACTTACAGTGACTCCATCCACGAGCTGCTTGGCCACATGCCCCTGCTGGCCGATCCCAGCTTTGCCCAGTTCTCCCAGGAGATTGGCCTGGCCTCGCTGGGTGCCTCCGATGAAGAAATCGAGAAGCTGTCCACGGTGAGTTTAGTTTTTAATATTTGCTATTTAGTTTTTCTAATTGAGTTGTTGCGGCGACCTTAGAGTCAAGTGTAGAGCTATGACAAGCGGGTTTTCTGGCCAAGATCATTGGTTTTTAGTCACTGTCAAAGTAACATTTTTGAGGCCTTAAAATCTCTTTAAAAATTCAACTTTTAAATCTACAAAATATATTTTTAAAATAATATTTTGAGAGACTTTTTCCCAGGATCTTCTTGTATAAGCTTACCTTTAGTTTTCCTGTATTATTCCTTACTTATTAATTTGTTCTTTATTTTCTTTAAATTCTTACAGGTCTACTGGTTCACTGTTGAGTTCGGTCTCTGCAAGGAGCACGGTCAGATCAAGGCTTATGGCGCTGGCCTGCTGAGCTCCTATGGCGAGCTCCTGCATGCCATCAGCGACAAGTGCGAGCATCGCGCCTTCGAGCCCGCCTCGACGGCCGTGCAGCCCTACCAGGACCAGGAGTACCAGCCCATCTACTATGTGGCCGAGAGCTTCGAGGATGCCAAGGACAAGTTCCGTCGCTGGGTCAGCACAATGTCGCGTCCGTTCGAGGTCCGCTTCAACCCGCACACCGAGCGCGTTGAGGTTCTCGACTCGGTGGACAAGCTGGAGACGCTGGTCCATCAGATGAACACGGAGATCCTGCACCTGACCAATGCCATTCACAAGCTGAAGCGGCCCTTCTAAGGCTCATGCAGGAGCAGATGATACCAAGAGCAGCCCTTAGCCCAAGCCCTAAACCCAAAACCCTCAACTCACACATACAGGTGCAACGGTCTCATTTATACAAATTAATTTTAAATTGACATACCGCACAATCCCTCGTACATTTTATGATTTCCCCCTTATTATTTACTGTTTTTTGTTTTTTGTTTTTATTTTTTATTTAATTTGTCATCTGAAGTTCTATATTTTGTCTGCATATTTATTTTGTTGATCATCTTGAATACTCCTCTCCCCCGAAACAAAATCCAATCCTAAGAACATCCGCATATTTATCACCGCAACTATTATTGGACCAAAAAATCGTTAGACTTTTAAGTGATGTGAAAACAAAGCCAAGCAAAGCGAATTAGTGAGAGCTGAGAATGCAAAGTTCAGATACATCCAATAGTAACTATATAGACAACACAAAAACCGCTTGTATACTCAGACCCACTACGCACACACAACACAACAACATGTTTTTGTATTATTATCATCTTCTATATTCTTTACCTAGACTATATAGACACGCGATATAGTATTTCCCGGTATTGAGAACTTACAAATCACACACAAAAAACACAAAAAAATGTGAAACGGAGAACAAACATAGAATTTTCTTACATTGTACAATAACTGTAAACGACAATATTACTATTGTGTACTATTATTATTATTATCTTATTATTATGCTTATGACTATTACGTATTGTATTGTAGGTATGTAGAGTTTAAACATTATTATTTGATTTAAGTTTTGTGTATTAATAAAATTACAAAATGCAATTGAAAAATAATCACTTCTTTGGTTTATATTTTTTGGTTTTTACTTTTTGGTTTGAAATTGGCAACTCTAAAGTCTGATTCTGTTTAGGGAACAACATTTTATGACTCGAAAAAGGGAATAAATATTTATTTTAAAAATGAAAAAATATTAAAATGTAGTAAAAGAAGAAAAAGGAATTGAAGAAAATTCAAAGAAAATATTTTAAAGGAAATCAAACGAAAGAAAAAGGAATTGAAACAAATTTAAACACTAAATTATTCAAAGAAAATATTTTAAAATATTTTAAAGTAAAAACAAACAAAGTTAAAACATAAATCCATCTATAAACAACTTCTTTTAAAAATTATTAAATATCTATAAAATATATACAACAAATATAAACTAACCTTGGACCAAAATATATACAACTATTAAACAATAAAGTAATTTATATAAATTATTATTATAATAAAGTAATTAAAATCAAAATATATACACATTGGGAACAAGAATATTACATATTTCAAGTTTAATATAGCGTGAAATTTTATTGTTGTTATTAATGTTCGATGTAGTTGCAATTTAAATCGAAAGCCGACCAAGTGTTAACATTTTCTGCAAGCAATTAGCCAAACTATAACTACTCGTATTTGCCCATTAATCTATATATGGTATATATACATTTATTATAGGTATATAAGCAGTTGGTTCCCAGGCCAGGCTTTGTGGCTTCTGAAAAACAAAGAAACACAACAATTACAATTAAATAAAAGAACTATATATTTATCTGTCTATAAATAAAGTTGAAATCGTTTAAACTAAAAAACTAAATTTCTGGGAGGGGCTGTTAGATATTAGATTTTTTTATTTTTGCACACCTTGGACTCGCCAGAGATCCTGTAGTCATGATTAACAATTGGAAAGGGGCCTCTAATGGTTATTTATTTTATTCTATTCTCAACCTATGCCAATTTATTTTAATTAGCCAGCTCCAGTAATTAGTCTTAATTACACACACACGAGCTGTGTAATTACTATCGTAGAACTTTTCTTCAAAGTAGTAAACTTTTGATTTTTGATTTGGGAGTTTTTATTTTGATTAATATTTAGCCGACAGGCGACGGGGATATTTAAATGAAAAGCGACAGCTGTTTATAAACATGACCTACCTCAGCATTATTAAATCTGATAAATAAATAACACCTGAGCGGATTTATCATATGCCAATTAACCGAGTACAAGTCCGACTCGTACTTTATTGTGATATAATAATTGGCCGTGTGAATTGGAATCGAATGTGCTAATAGTTTCGAATACCAGCACACGGCAACAGCAGCAGCGATCGCGGGGGGGTTGGGGGTCTGGGGAGCGGACTGTGGGAACGCCCACGACGTCGTACAATTATAATGATATTAATATGAAATCGGAACGTTAAGGGACAGATGTATCGAAGCTAGAATGCCCTCGCGCAGGTGTGTTGCCCTCATATAAATATATGGAAGCCAAAGTAGTCTTGGGAATTCCCTCCTCTAAAGGTGGAAAAATTAATTTTAATAGAATTTATGTGAGATATATTAGCTAATTATTGATTTAGATTGCCGCTGAGACTAGTGGGTCTTGCAGGTGTGCTGGAATTGGAGCTTATTAAGTAGGAGAAACTATTATAATGAGTCTTTAAAGATGGAATTTTTCGTATTAAAGATGTTTTAAATGTTCTTTAAAGTCTTTACTTGGGAGTTTTTTGAATCAGTTTAAGCCTAGAATTTTTAGATTTAAATAAAGGGGAGTTTAAAAGCTTTATTATCAAGGCTGAATCCTAACGCTTTATATAAAGCATTGAAATTCTAATCTTTAAGTTTTTTCTCAATATATAAACCCAGTCTAAACCATTGCCACCCCCTATATACCCAATTAGCACTTGGTACGAGTTCACTTAATGACATTTGCTTATATTTCTAATATATCTCCATTATGAATGGCCATTAGTTAATATTTTAAGAATAAATTCAAAGCTAAGGCTGGGCATTTATCAGCTTTTCGCGGCTTTTGTTCGCTTTGTGCAATCCGATTTGGGTCAGGTTTATGCTAAAGGCCTGCCTGCCTGCCTGTCCAAGTAAAGCCATGTGGGCTGGCATGGACTACGTGCCAAAGTGCTGGCCATAAGGTTCTCTATTACGGCCTGGTCTTCTGTCAAGGTCACTGAGCAAATGGGTTAGGGTTGCAGGAAATGCTGGGGGTTTGGGTTTGTTGAACCGACAACGACGACCGAGGTAATTGCCGGAAGCCCAATGCACTTTGCAATTAAACACTTTTCATTAATTGTTTAAGTTTCTTGCACAGCCAAACGAGAAGAAAATAATAAAAACAAGAATAAAGGCGAGGTGGCGGTGGCGAGCGAAACACGTTTCATTTACAGCCGCCGCAACATTTCAGATTTGGCTAATTAAAGTCGCATAAAAAGCCAAAAAAAAAAAAGAAAAACAAAATATATCCAACCAAAAGCCAAGGTTAGCTGGAGCTTGGCTTTGACAGTAGCAGCCAAAAGGAATTAACTAGAACAAGTCTACACTACACACACGGCCATTAGCAGTTGGTATTTGGGATTTGGCTTTGGCCAACAATCGAATATCAAAGTCAATGACTTACTGGCTTGGCGGCCGCCATTTCGTGCCAATTAATCGCAGATTTTCGTCGATTTTCGTAGATTTTCGATATTTAGTAACTTTGTAGCAAAGGTGAAGGAGGTGCTAATGCTTACCTTGCAGCCAAACCGTTAGCCGGACCGCTGCACACTATGTGGGTTCTTGGCCCGAGGCGCGCACCTGTTCTTAGCCGTTGGTTCTAATTTAAATGATCGAGCATTTATAATGGCCATAGCTCTGGGGGCTAATTAGACTATAAACGGGTTTCCAACCCCTAACATAAAGGCAGTCACTCCTCAGTCAGTGATTTGCATGACCGTGCCAACAGCTGTTCTCACACAGAAAAAATTATCGTGGGTAAATCTAACCATTTCGTGGGTTAAAAGGTAACAACCAAAATCTTGGGTTCCATGAACTGTACGCTGCAGTATAACGACGTAACGCGTTACGTAACATGTACTGCTCTACAGTAAATGGAACCACGATTTTGCGGTTAAAAAGCGCCAAACCACGAAAATTGTGAAATACACTATTTTACTATTTTACTGTAGACTACCCCCGACTACAGTAATTGCAGTTCATATTACCACCAAAATAAAACCAAAAATTATTTTAAAATTTTAATAGTATTTTTTTAATTACTTATTCTTTAAAAATATTTACAGAGGGTCTTAATTAATAATATTTTTTTAATTACTTATTCTTTAAAAATATTTACAGAGGGTCTTAATTAATAATATTATGGACTTATATATATATATTTCCTATATGATGAATAAATAAATTAAATATTAAAATTGTAAATTTATTAATAAATAAATATTAAGTCAAACGATGATTATCAATACTCACAAATATATATTAGTCCATGTTTCACATCCGAACTGGTACTTTTGTCTCGACTATAGCTTTTCTGAAATAAAAATTGATTTAAGTAAATTTGTTTATTAAAATTAATAGAAAACGGCCAAATATTTTACTTACATTTTGTTGATTCCATTTACATAGTTATGTTTTATAGTTACATGTGTATACTCTCACCTGAAAACAAAATAGAAAAGTATAAAAGATTTAATTATATATGTATATCATAATAAGATATAAAAAAAACGGTTTTTGGATGTCAGTGCCAGCTATCTTGCTCGCACTCGCCTGAGATGGTTGCCATCGCAAGTCAACAAGAAGCCAAAAAATACATTTGCATGCATGTAGATGTCCGCTGATCGCTATTTAAATTGTAAAATAAAGAGAGGCAATCAAAGATCAGTGCCAAATATAAGATTTTACATATATGCATATATGTACATATGTATATATTTTAATCTGTACACTAACTTTACTTTTAAAAGCGTTACTTCTTGCGATCAGCGGCGTACGTGTACTTGCATATGTACATACATACATATATGTATATGTATGCATAAATACATATACATACATATGTACATTCGCCAATTGCGGATCTTTAAATGATTGTTTGGGAACTTACCGAGAAATGTGGGCAATAAGTCTCTGAAATCCCACTCCTCCAGAAGAAGGAAGGTCAATATCACTCATAACTTTTACTTTTAACTTTTTCACTTCACTTTTCGCTGCACAACTTCTCGAAACCGACGCCGCTTTTTAAGTGTGCCCGAAATCGTTTTTTCAAGAAACGTTTGCAATATACTAGAAGTTTAGAAATATATACCAGAATTATACCAGAAAGTATTTTAGTGGGCAGAAAAAGTTATGGATTTTCATAAAATATTTAATAAACTTATAAAATGTTAATGTTACTTACCTTGGGAATGCAAAAATACATACACGATACCAAAGAAGATAAAGAAACACATAAAACTTTTTACGTAAAACCTACAGTATTTTGACTGCAGCTGACAGTCACGACAGTTCGCAAAGCCAACAACAAAAAACACACAGAATCTCGTACGTAAGGGTGACTGTAATTGACTGTCATATAAACTGTCGTGCAGTCACCAAATCCAACAACAAAATACATTGACAGTAGCTTCACTGTTATTCAACCAAAAGAAATTGTTCATTTAACCCACCAGAATTTTTTCTGTGCATGAATATTTAGGGGCGTGAGAGTTGTAAGCAAGTGTGATATTTATAGATTAAATACTATTCATAATACTAGAGATTTTTGTGGGGGGAAATATAATAAATAATCAGGGCTTTCCCTTTAAAATTTACTCATATTTCTTCTCTATTATTTAGCTATTTCTTAAATATTTAAAATTATTATTTAGAATGTAGATAATTTAAAATCCCAGAAAACCACAAAGAAAGCTATACTCTCTGATCTTTCTCGAGGCATGCAAAATGCTCTATTTTTTTTCTGAATCCATAATGTCACAGGTCCATAATTAAAGACTATTACAGCACCAATTGGCCAGATAATTACGAGGCCAGCTGCACGATTGCTAAACAGTTCAAACAACTTTAGTTTCAGAATATCAAGATGTGGGTACGGACATACGACACCTGGCCCAGATCTAAGTGCTCTGATCCCCAGCCGGTAGCCAAGGGCCCCAGATACCAAAGACCACTTTCGATCATAAATTAATATTAGAATTTTAAATGCGAAACTAATTAGGTAAGTATAAAGAAAAAAAAATACACACAGAGTTAATAAGTACTTAAAAGTAGGTGGAGAAAACCTGTGAGATTTCATGCCGTAAGCCGTCAATGTTATTAAACAATTGCAAGAAAATCGTGCATATTATTTCCCATTAGCAGTTGCCAGGCCAGGCCCGTCGCCCTGTCTGCGTTTCCAGCCAGGTGGTGGTGGTGCTGGTGGTCTTGGACTTGATCGGGCCACCAGGGCGTATGCGCGATAATTATTGCAAATAGCGGCACGCGATGGTTACCCAGTCCAAAATTGCTTTGATTTCGGAGCTCTGATTCTGCGCATCATCTTCATCGGTGTTCCCATTCATAATAGTCGTCAGTTCAGAGTCAATATTTTGGTTTTAGCTGGGCAAACAGATCGGGATCGGTCGAAAAGCCAGAAAGAGAGCTGACGCAATGTCAACAATGGATGTGCCGTGGGCTGATTTCCCAGTTTGTAGTCCATATTGGGACACTTGGAAAAAGAGGAGAGGAAATTTAAGGGAAAATATAAATTACATGAAATTTGGTAAATAAAAAATACGGTTAAGATTTTAGTTTAAAATTAAATTAAAAGATTTTTCAAGTTTTTCAAAGCCAAAATTGAGTTTGATTAAACAAAATATTGGTTCATTATATCATTTATTTTCAATTTATTGATAAAGGTTTTTAATTTAAACTTAAATTCAAAGAATTTATAAAATTTTTAGTAAAAAAATTTATAAAATTTAATTGTAAAATTTATAGAAATTTTTTAACAGTTTATTTACCGATATCTTAACGTAAATAATTAACTTTTACTATTTATTTAATATAGAAAACATGGTTGAACATCGATATATGGGCTTGGAGTAAATTCTGCTGCATTTAAATAGTTTTTAAATATTAATATTTAACTTCAATTATTTTCCACAGTGTTGTACTTGCGGGAGTCTGGAGCCGAAAGTCTTAAGTAGATTTACACGCTTCACTTGGCCCACTTGTTGACTTTGGCTAATTAAAAGTCGTGCACACTCGCTCTCTTAGCGGAAGTTTGTCCAGAGTTCGGGAGGAATACCAAAGGTCACAATTTTCAGATCGGGAATAAGTCGCAAAGCGACCCAATACATTGTTGCTTAATACAAATTTTAATATTTTTTCTTAGAATGTATGAATTGTTAAATAATACTTATATTATATATAAATTAAATTAACTAAGATTATAATTGTAAAAGCTACTGTATAAATATAAGAATAAAAAAAATTTTAAAATACAAAACAAAAACCTCAAATTTAAATAAAAATTTGAGGTTTTTGTTTTGTTTTATTGAAGTTTCCTTTAAAGTTTCGTTAAAGAAATATTTTGTTATTAGTTGATTAACTTTTAGACATTTTCCTAAACCATTATCCACATTTACATATTGATAATAAATTGCTTAAAAATATAGATTGTTATAAGATTAATTTTTAAACAATTATTTAGTGGCTCCATAGTTTAATACATTTTACACGTTCAGAATAGCAAAGCTATAAAACTCAGTGGCGCCCAGGTAAACTTGCTCAGGTAAACTCGTGGCGGCGCCACTAAATAAAGAAATGCTCAGAAAGCTTTGACTATATAATATGAGGGCTGGCTGTGGCTGAATGATGTGAAACGCAGAACTAAACTTTAAATAAAATATCGGAAATGTATAAAAAAAAATATATTATTATTATTATTATTTAAGCTTAGATGTAAGCATCCCCAAAATTATTAAAAATTATATGACTTTTATGAGAAATCCAATGAATAAAAACCCCAATAAAGTGTTAAATCAATAAGCAATTTAGGATCCAAGTAGGTTCAGGGTTTCCTTTCAATTTCTGTTTTCTTGGCATTTCTCACATTTTATTTTTCTTATTCCCTGAACGAATCTCAAACGGAGAGCAACTTAACTTAAAAATTATATTGGAATACTTAAAAAAAAGAAAACAACGATGGCCAGCTTTCGGATTTATCAGGACAAGGAAAACAACAAGGAGAACTTCAGTTCCAATGTTCTGGTCAGAGGCAAGAATGCAAAGCAGCCCCTGGGCTTGCTCAACACCAACAAGATCAACCAGAAGAACAATGCGAATCCCTATCGTGAGAAGCAGCTGGGGGGTTGCCGTGAGGTAAATATCCACAAAACTGTTAAAATTCTGGAATGCAAATCAAATAAACTACTACTGCCCTTGATCGAGCAGCTCCAGACCATCTCCCTTGCCAAAGATGAGGTGCCTTGCATTCCCATGTCCGTGGACCGCTCAGTTAAAGAAGGTTTTAGTACCGACACTGAACAAAAAAATGAGCAAGTAAGTTGGATAGTTATATTATTATTTTATGTTACTTAAGTATAAATTATACCTTAAGCTCATAAAATATAATTTATATAATTTATTAATAATCCCTGCAGGTAAACCCAGAAGAAGCCACTTCAAGGCCTTCTGCCTACCCAGAGGTCCAGTATCAGAAGGATATCCTGGCCACCTGCCGTGAGGGCGAGTTGAAAAATCGCCCAAAGCCTCTTTATATGCTCCTGCAGGACGACATCAGCTACAAGATGCGCTCCGTCCTGATTGACTGGCTAGTGGCGGTGGCCGTGGATTATCGCATAAACACAGAGACGCTCTACCTCAGCGTTTCCTATGTCGATCGCTTCCTCAGCCTGGTGGCTGTGAGGCGCTCCGTGTTGCAGTTGGTGGGCACCACGGCCTTGTTTATAGCCAGCAAGTTTGAGGAGATGGCACCACCTCCAGTTGAGGAGTTGATCTACATCACTGACGACAGTTATACCAGGGAGGAGTTACTTCAAATGGAGCGATATATGCTGAAAAAACTATCCTTTAAGCTGGTGACACCCACGGCCTATGCCTTTGTCAAGATGTATGCTGTGATGTGTGATGATATGTCTAAGGTTTTGAAGAGTTTGGCAATGGTAAGAGGTCCTTCTACTAATATTTTTTATATCCTCTCAAGATATTATATTTTTTAGTACATTTCTGAGTTATCCCTGCTGAAGGCAAATCCCTTTCTGCTCTACTTGCCTTCTATAATATCCTCTGCTTCCCTCGCTTTGGCGCGTCACATCCTGGGAATGGAGATGTGGTCTCCCCAGCTGGAGCAGATCACCTCATACAAGTTGGAGGCCCTAAAAACCGTGATCCTGGCTTTGTCCAGTCACCATAGCTCAGCCAAAGATCTCAAGTATCAGGCCATACAGAAGAAATACAAGGGAGACCACTATGGAAATGTGGCCCATATCGAGGATATTGAGCTCACTCAGGATCAGTTTGATCAGCTTTTCCAGGCCTACGAGGCCAAGCACAAACAAAAAAAACCAAAAAGCTTTTAAATTGTAGTTTTGTTTCAATTATTTTGTTGGGTTTTTGTTTATGATTTAAAAACTCCACTCACTTTATATCGTTTTAATAAAAAAATGTACATTTATTTACATTAAGATTTCACCAACTCTCTCTCATCTCTATCAGTCTTTTGGCAAATTACTGTCGCTCTTCCCCCGACTATAGGGACGTGCTCCGCCCAGCATCCTCTCCAGCAGGCTCTGCTTGGACTTCCTTTTGGAGGCCAGGACCTCCTTGCACAGCTCATTGAAGACCTCGGCCACCTGGTCCACATGATCGGCGGCAGAGACCTCACTGAATTTGCACTCAAAATCCTTGGCCAGGATTTCGCCCTCGTCACGGCTCACCTGACGCAGGTGCACCATATCCACTTTGTTGGCACAAAGCTGGACAGGTGTGTCGGACTGTAGATCGGATTTGGCGCGGCGTATATAGTTGAAGCTCTTGCGATCTGTGATGGAGTAGACCAAGAGCAGGCCATCGGCCCATTGGACGAGCTCCGAGGCATTGGGGTATTCATCTTCGGCCTGAAAGGATAATAATATTATGGGAAAAAGGTTTAGAAAGTAAAATTTATTAGCCACCTTGGGACAGGTATCCAGTATTTCGAACAGCACCGGCTCACCATCCACCATGGCCTCGTGCTTGTAGCGATTCTCTGTCTGGTGATCGTATTCGCCGATGTAACGCTTTGTCAAGAAACGCACGATTAGGGCTGCAATTAAATTAAATGAAATGAAGCTAAAAAAAAACCATTTACGTAACATGAATTTAATTTATTGCGGCTTCCGCTATCAGCGAGATCAGGTGTAAACCAGGGGCACCGCCCTCCCGAAGCCGGAGCAACCCTCGCAGTCCTCGTCCTGGATTTGGGTCAGGCACTTAAGCGAGCGTGAAGGAAACCCCTGGCACCGGGTGCAGGTGGAAAATGCGCCTTGTGGGGTTAATAAACCCTCGTCGGCTGAGCCCTAAAGTTGCGTGTCGCGGGCCAACAAACACCGCTGTCCTTTGTAGGCCTCAAGTCCTGCCAAGGAACGGGGTGTGTGTGTGTGAGTGAGTGTCCTTAGCCGTTGGTCATTTCCTATGCAAGTGCTTTGAACCCACAGCAGGAGCAACAACAACAATAACAACAGAAGCAGCAGGAGCGACAGGAACAACGCTGGGAACCGAAACCTCAGGCGCCACTTGAACCGAGAATGACAATGACTATGTCAGACAGTCGAGGGTCTAGTGCTTGCACTTGTGTGTTTCATGACTTTAAAATTTACTTAAATTATATACTTAAATATTTTTTAAAGAGTTTCTAAGATTTACTAATAAATAAATGGAAAATAAAGGCTTTAGCTGGTTGATATTTCATGGAATTAATAACCTTAACCTTAACTTTAAGTAAAGTTTAGTTTTTAAAAACTTTATAATATTTTTGTAATATTTATTTTATATTTATTAAATTTAAATTTTTATTTTTAAGTCCCTTAATAACTCAAATATTCAAATAAAATCCAGCTTAAACAATCAAGCCTGTATTTGTTTTTATTTTCTGTGTGTGGCCCGTTGCCTTGGTTGCCTCGCGACTTTTTAACGACATTTTCATCATTTATTTTCCCAACACCGTGTGCCCCTGTGCTTTTTCTCTCACTTTTTTAAATTTATGTTTTCCGAATTTTCCTTCCTTTTTTTTTTGTCTTATTTTTCCACGAGGTCAACGTTTAAATATTTCGACGCACGACGACGGCGATCGTGTCTATGGCTAGCAGATTCTTTAATTCCGCCGGACGGTGGGCTGTGGTGGGCGTGGCCGTATATATCTAGATGTGGGCGGTTTAATTGCCACAGGCACCAAAAAATATTTGTGCTCTAGTCTGCGGCTGAATGACATTAAAATATGTAGCAATAAATTTATTAAACATATATGCGCATTTGTCATTATGTGTTTTGGGGTCTCCATTTGTTTTGGTTTTTACTTATATAGATTATTAAATTTTTTCCAGACAGTATGTTTATAATTTAAGTCCATATTTAAGTTACTGGCATTTATTTTGAATATTAAAACTAAGATTTTCGGTGTCTTCTAACAGAATGTTCTTCATGGCTCTTCTTTATTTTATTTTTTCATTTTTATTAATTTCAATTAAAGCTTAAAAATCAACCTCATCCATAACCCTAGCCAGACCATAGCTCATTCGTTTGTCACAAATGCCTCGCCCTGTTTTCCAACTTTCCTGCATTCCATGTTGACTTTTTCCTCACATTTTTATATATTTATTAGTGGAAGCATATTTTCTAGTCATATTTCATTCGAACTTTTCTTTATTTTGCATTCAACATTTTTTGTTGACCGTCGACGACATATAGCACGCAGGTGTAACCCCAAGTTGACAGAGTATAAATTTCCCAGCAAAGGCTAGAGAGAGAGAGAGGCACCATCATCATGGGGCTCCAAAAACAAAATGTTACAAATTAAAATTATTTCGGGGCTTCCCGGGTTGTACGTGATGTCTGACAGGGAACATCAATTTGTGCGCTAAGTCGCCCGCACCAAAGAAATATGCAACTTCTCTGCCGCGGCAATGATCCATGATCCCTGATCCCATTGCCTAGCTACTTTTAAACTTATATGTGATCGGTGCACTGGGAAAAAGAAGTATTATTTAAGGTTAATTGGTGGGAAAATAAAGAATTTTAAACAAAGATTTTTGGGAATTTTTGTAAAGCTAGAAAATGCTTTGTTTTAAACAGGGAAATTATGTTAAAACTTTCTAGTATTAATAGAAAATTGAAAATAACATCTAACAACTAGAAATATTAAAGTTTTACTGATACAAAAGTTAATAAAACAATATTATTTAAGCAAGATAAATTATGTACACTTTAATCAAGGATTTACTTTAATTTTTTAAAAAATCTGAACTGAAAGTAACCCAATTTCCTTTCTAGTATTAATTATTTACTATTATACAGCAACAAAAAATACTCATTTTCAAGATAAAATCATTAAGTTTTTATTTTTAAATTTTTTAAATTTTGTACTAAGCTTCAAAGATCTTTAAACACTCTTTAAATTCATGTTAATTTCTATGGAAAGACCCTGTTTTTTCAAGTGTACAACCCCGTCTGTGCGATGTGCTCATGGCCCATCATAAATTAGAGCATGGCCTGGTCTTTTTGGCCAGAGGAGCCGCTTGTCAAATCGAAGGAAAAGTCGGTGGAAAAGCGATTAAAGCGGCGGGGCAGGCAATGCCAAAGTGCCAGGCACTCTGTGCATTTCTCTCTCTATCTCAGTTTGTGTGTGTGTGTGTGTGTGTATCTGTGTGTATGCTGCTGCCACTTTATAAACAAAACAAACAACAGAGTCTAAATATACACGAAATCGGCGATTGCTCAACTAATTTGCTGTTGTTGCTCGGCATCCATGCCACAAGTATCTATCGGATAGGTCTGGGTGCCGCCGCCACGGCACTTACTGGTGGCTACTATAAGTATATATCTCCTCCCACCGATATCTTACCGCTCTTGCCAACGCTGGGCGCCCCAATTACGGCGATCTTCAACTCCGTGAGGGTGGACTTCTTGCGTCGAATCCCACGCGTGGTCATCTTTACGTCTTTCTCTCTGAGTATCTAAGGCTGTGAGTATCTGAGTTAACCGAGTTTCCTGAGATAGATATTCAAATTCCTGCAGGTGTGTGCGAGTGTTTCTCCGTTTTAATTATCCAATTGTTATTGGTTGTTTCATTTCAATGTCAAAACAGGCGCAAGAAATGCGTTTAAAATTACAGTCAGCACAGCACATTGAATTTCGCGTTCATTTTGGGTGAAAATTAATGAGTTTTCATCTGGCACAGCAGCAGCAGCAGCAGGTTATTTTCGAAATAAAACAAAATTGGTGCAAAAAAATGTGTGTCTTGGGTTGGAACATTTTTTGGGATTACGGAACGGACACAGAGGAATCGACGCGATTCAAGGCGCACTGAACTTTGCCATGTGTGGAACCGAGAAAAATCATTTATTTATTTATTTTAACCATCAATTTTTGCGCGAATCCCAACTGATGTGTGGAGTGTGTCTTTTATTGTTCTCTCTCTTTCGCTCTCTCTCTGTGTATCTTTGTATCTGTCGGATGTTTGTATCTGTAGCTGTATCTTTGACCGCCCGCCTGAGATCTCCGTGTGATTTGCGCGGCCAACGGATTTCTACTGAAAGAGCCAAGGAGATTCGTGGCCACCGATCGGCTCTTTAGCTTTTTCAGCTTTTTGCGAGCGTACCAAAAATAGAAAGCACGGAGAGATGCGGAGAGACTATGTCTGATTCTGATTCCAATTCCAATTCCGATTCCTATTCCGATTCCCATAACGATTCCCCATTACGATCTCTGGTCGCATTCCCAGACACGCGCCCTGCAAAGGGTTAAAGCCCAAGGAGATCTCCACTCTCGGCCAATAGGCTAATCGGTGCCATCGAAAATAGCCCCCCCATTCGATCTAATGGGGGGGGATTTCGGAATCATCATCATTTATTCGGGGGACTCTGAATACGAGTGCCTGTCGCCGGCGAAAGACAAATGCAACTGCCGTCGAATGTCGCCTTAAATTAAATTTAATTGCCACTCGAGGGCTTTGGCCAAAGCAGCTGAAGCAGCCCGAGCAACTGTTTCTGGCCATAATCGAACACTCTTGTGAATTGTATGCCAGAAGTGCAGCTGTTTTTTGGTTAGAGAGTTAGTCAAATGTTTGTTTTTGGTAAATATTTAGAAGGTAGGTTGCACCTGACATGGGAATAGAGTAATTACCATTTTTGGGGGAGGTTAGTGCTGGTCAGAGGAGATTAAATAAGAATTATAATATTTTATGGGTTTAATATAAATGTTTTAACTTAAATAAGATGTCTAAAAGAGAAGGGTTAATATTAATATAGCTTGATTTGATTTTTATAAAAGGAACTATAAGATATTCGGGAGTTATTTAAAGATTTTATAATTATTTAATTAAAAATATACAAATCTGAATGATAACAAGAAGGGAAGCTAACTTCGGCACACCGAAGTTTGTATACCC